ATGACTTGCAATATTTGTTTTTAAGTCCAACTAAAGGAAAATGTGGAAATTTGCCCTTGGAACGGCGATGGATCTTCATCCTGGAATACTGATCTAATCACTGTGCACATTTATCTGCTCCAGCCAGTTTGTTTACCCGTGCGAGTCTGATTTTTCGGAAACTCGGCAGATAAATGGTGGCAAAGGTGGATTACCCCACGGGCTGTTATGACGACGGTCACAAATCATTTCAGTTTGATGGTTGGCTGGAACCACATCCCCAAACAAGGAACAAAATCAAATTGATGATGAGACACTTCGGATGGAACCGGAGACAGAGAGGCGTCTCAGGAACGTACCTCAGGAAACTGGTAGTCCGCTACTCACTGCAACCAACTGAAGACGGAAATTTTCCTACACAGTATGGAAGCTGTTGTGTTAGACGTGGACCCACATATGTTCATGGAATAGAGTAGCTGCAGATTTGGATCTAAAACATAGATGCTTGGCTTTAATAAACACTGCTGCCCGAAAAATCACATGGAAGAAGAGACTTAGCTTAGGTTGTCATACACAAATAAAGAGCTGTTAACTCTATAGCCTGAGCAGAAAGCTATCCAGAACATACACGCTTAACAATCCAACTATCCGCTGTATTATCCAGGTATTCTAGAGAGTATACAACAATCAAAATTGGCTTTCATGATTACTTATTTGATAAAGCCCATTTGCCATTTGAAAATCCATAATGACTGCCAACTCTCAAAAAGACTACACTTAAAAGTCATATCATACTTCATTTGCAGTCTTTGCTGTTGCAGAAATCTCCCATAGATTTCCATTCAGGATTCTTTGAGTGTGGTTTCGCCTCAATTCACGATGTCTCTGAAAGCTTTACTACATAAAGTGAGGTGTCGCGACACTGTTGAGGATCGTTGAATGATATTAGCCTACATTGATGCTGACAGGTCAGCTGAACTTTAGGAAAAATGATTAGTAAGTGCTTCAATTTCAAGTAGCCAGATGACACAGATAAAGGATGCACGTGTCCACTTATATAGCGGGACATATAATATCTGTACATAATACACAAAAAACTAAAGAGAAACGCTGGACAATGGTTAAAAAGCGGAAGAATAAAGTGCAGGGAAAGTGAAAAGGCTACAGGAGAGAAGGGGAGATGGAGAGAGAAAAAAGAGAAGTGTAGAAAAGGGTTTTGTAATCTGGGTATAGTGGTGTTGTGCCGTCTCCATGGTGACAGGCACAAAGGCCCGTGGTTGGCCATTGATGGCTAATTGTATTCTTCACAGCTCTTTTGTTAATTGTTGTCTGCCCAGCTCCCACTTCCTGCTGGGCCACGGCACAAAGCCACGAACAGGAGGGATTAGAAATGGCACATCAGCTTCCCCAATGCACAGCCAACCTCTCTCTACCTCATTCTCTCCCTCTCTTTCATTCTCTCGCTTTCTTTCTGTTTCTCTCTCCCTCTTTCTGTCCCCACAGAGCCGCACCTCCTTTTATCTGCTCCTCACTGTGTGCACTCCCATGACCTCAGAGAGTCCTTCTTTCCTTCTTTACCTTTCATTCTTTCTTCATATGAGGTCTTCACTTCTTTACTCGCACTTATGTGATGTTGGCTTGATTCTTGCTTCTTTACCTACAACACTGTCACAGTTAGCCACACAGATACAATAAGATAACATTACTGTAGAGCATAACCACATTCATGTCTTTCAGTCATGGCAGGCTTGGCTGTTCACCATCACATGGGAAATACGGACTGATGACAACTTTTCACAATTAAAGGACAGTACAAAAAAAGCACTGCTCAAACACAAGATTTGCATATGATGGTTGAAAGATAAGTTAATTTATATAATCTTCATCAGAGGCAGAGGAAGAAGAATGTTCTTGGAGCCAGCCACAGTGTGTCCAATATAAACTGTGATCATTTAAAACTCATTGGATTCTTAAATGCATTCTCTGGGAGATGCAAATTGCTACCTGGATTGTTTTCAGCGGCAAAGTGTTTCTCAGTGAAAGGAACCGGAGCGTTTTTGAACTAGCCTGAAGTTACAGTGAAATGGTGCGAGACTAAGATGCTGTTGTGTGTGTTACGTCCAAAAATGTTTGAATTTATGTGAGGCAAAGGCCAGTGCCCCTGCTACACGTTAATAAAGTCTGGTAGACTGGTAGGTGACACAGTAGAGAATCTCCACCTATCCAAAAACGTGTGTTGTAACTAATCATAAATGGTAAATGGCCTGCATTTGTATAGCGCTTTACTCAGTCCCTAAGGACCCCAAAGCGCTTTACACTACATTCAGTCATTCACCCATTCACACACACATTCACACACTGGCAATGGCAAGCTACATTGTAGCCACAGCTGCCCTGGGGCGCACTGACAGAGGCATAACTATAAAAAAAGCATAATGTAATTTTAACTTATATATCAGTAAATACTTAACTACTACACGAGTGCTTCCAGTTCATTGGAGGGAGGCGGTGCTAGCATATATCACAGGACTTTTAGGCTTTTATCTTTTATTTCAATGTGTGTTTTTCTGCCCTGCATTTCGTTGCCCTGTACCTGTGCATGTGCAATGACAATAAAGTTGAATTCTATTCTATTCTATTCTATTCTACAAATACTGATTTGTCCTCACTCCGAAGTCATCACATACTGATGCTTGGACAGTAAGCGTCACACTGTAACCCACTGCGCACCTACTTAATGCCACCTTTCAATGTGCAGACATTGAGGGGTTCGACATGTTTCTGTCTGAAATAAACAGCATCTGCTGGTGCTGGCATGGACATGGACGTGTAACCTTTGTAACATTGTTAGTTTAATCTTATTCTGCTATCTTATTGCTACCTTTATATACTGCTGTTTTAAACTGTTAGTTTACTGGTAGTTTATACTGCTAGCTTACTGCTAGCATTATATACTCCTACCTTAATCTGAAAGAATGTATTTATTAAAACTACTACCAACAAACAAAATAAACACACAAACCTCAGAGCTGAAAACTAAGACTTTCAAGCAAACGTTGAGGAGTAAATGCTGTGCCCGCTGATAAAGAATTATCCCTGCTTGATGCAGCTAACACTGCTAGCAAGAGACAAGGTAATTGCTGTTAGCTTGCAGCAATGTTTACAAGAAATCTGCTAAATTTTAAATCCAGCATTTTACCTGGATATTTGTAATGTAGTTGTGCTCCTGCTGTGTAAAACAAACCAGCCGTGTATGGTAACAGCTGAACACAGCTAACACTTCTGTTCTTCACTTTTAAACTTCCATCACTATGATTTATTCTTGTTTTTTCTGCCCTCAGTCATTGGGTTATTCTTTATGTTGTCACTGCCGAGCGTGATTTTGTTGCAAAACCCTTACTTACCCTAAAGTTTTTTTGTTTTTTTTTTAAAAAAAGTGATCTGGATAGGAGTCAAACTCCTGTTTTTTTTTCTTCATCACGCATAAAAAGAGACGCTGAAGGTGTACAGTTTCATTCAACACATGGCAAGTAGTGTTCAGTTCAGTTCAGTTCATTTTTATTTCAAACATTTCAAACATGTGCCTTCACAATCATTACAAAGTATTATTCCATTATTTGTTTGAAAAGGAGTAGGCAGAAGTATTTACTTATTTGTCCCTACCCCCTCAAGTTTTACCTCTCATTCATTTAATTGTTTGTTTGTTTTTTAGTCTTAAAAGTGTGACTGACTAAGAGACAGTGTCTAGTGAGCTAAGAGGTAGAAAGTGTTTCAAATAGTGGATACATACAGCACCCACCAAAAGTATTTGCACTTTACTGTTAGCATACTTTTAGAGGATATTCTAAGGAGCTTAGAAAGAAAAGTGTCTGGACTTCTTTAAGTTGCTTGAAGACGTTAAACCTCTCATCCGAGAAGCTTCTTCAGTTCTAAGAGTCAAATGAGTCCCAGATTTACAGGATATTGTACATGGAGTGGGGAAAAGCCCTGAAAAAAAATATAGGAATAGTTTTACACCACACTTGTTAAGCATGACAGACTTCTTTGATCAAAAGGTGGAAATTTTAAAAATGACAAGCGGTCAAATCGAACTGAATATCGACAGTATTGATACCAATACTAAAATATTGATATAAGTATCAGATCAATGGTGGCAAAGTATCAATACTTTAAATTCAGTAGCAGACCTCTGAATTCTGTTAAATATTTTTTTATTCATGTATTTATTTAAAAAAAAAAACACACCTCAAACAAACACTCAGAAACAAACACTTTTGTGTCGTGTTTTTTGTTTTGACTGTCAGATCTATTTTATTCATTGCTTGTCTGACACATTTAAAAAAAATCACAGTGTTTAAAACGTGTGATATCGGCATTTAGTGGCATTTTTGTGGCATTTATTTGGTATTGGCTCAATACCAAATTTTGCAGTATGGCACAGCGCTGAATAAAGAAAGCCTCTGTCAACAAAGATCACTCTTTGAATCAACCCAGGCTCACTCATGATCACCCCTCCCCCTTCTAATAATCTTTACTCAGTCCCGAAGACGTTTGAAAGCGCAACTTTACACGCTCTGTAATCTCATGACATTTTAAAGAGCGACCAACTAATCACTGATAACAGATTAGCTTGTAATGAAAATGACTACTAACTGCATTCTCTCTCTTTATTTATTTATTTATTTTATATGTACTTGTAAAGTTAAACGACCCTGCCGGTATCTTTGCTATTAAGTCTTGCTTATTGGATTGGTTATGGATCTAAGAGGGAGAGAAGAGGCCGTCAGTTGGTGAGGTCTCTCCAATCAATAGTCATTTACAGTGTAGTCAATGTGCGTTTCAATAGACACGGGAGCCAGTAACAGATTATCGACTCTCTCTCCCTTGATACACTCGTGTGTGTGTGTGTAAGTGTTCTCACAGCCGCCACCTGGAAATTAGTCCCTCTCCCTTTAAGTGGGAGGTGAGCTGCAGGGCGCTGGGGACGGTGAGAGTTGGAAACCCAGACAAGCAAACAGAAAGTCACCGGGAGTGAGTGAGTGAGTGAGTGTGCGCGCTCCCCGTCTCCAAAAACATTTACGCATCGCAGCAGTGTTCCGCCTGCCTCTCACTCCTCACCGTCATCTTACCACAAACAGCAGCCGGCTCTCTCCACTCCGAAGAATCGGGAGGACAAGTTCGTGCGGAGAAGCGTCTGTCCCAAACCACCGTGCTTTGCATGCGGTGAGCAATTAAAGCGGGGGAGGAAGAGGAGGAGGACGGAAGTTTATCCCCCCCTCCTGTCTCTCTGGTGGAGAGCGCAGGGCGCACCGGGACTG